AGCTTTTAAATTAAAAGACGAATCCTGAAAATCGGCAAAATTATAAATATATTTCCAGTATTTTATCTTGACTACGGTACATTTGTTTCTTCCAAAATTCTAAATCGTGTATGAAACAATAACACATTGGGTGTATTTCAAGGAATCTTGGTTGAATATAAAAAATGAAATCAACTTGTATGTTTAAATTCAAAACTTTCCCCACAAATCCGTGAGGATCATTAATGTAGAGAGGCTGCCATTTTCTATCATTCTATTCTATGTAGCTAAACCTCGTTTCAATCATCCAATAGCAGATAAATAAAGAAACAAGTTTGTTTTATCATTAAGACGTCGAAAACAATGAACATGAGTCAGTCGTTTAGAACATTTTTAATTGTTACAAACACCATCTGCTATACGTTTTGAAATGAGGCATTATAGCATACAAGGATTTCGATTGACTTGTTTTGATGCTGTAGAGAGGCTGGAATTTTCTATCATTCTATTCTATGTAGCTAAACCTCGTTTCAATCATCCAATAGCAGATAAATAAATAAACAAGCTTGTTTTATCATTAAGACGTCGAAAACAATGAACACGAGTCAGTCGTTTAGAACATTTTTAATTGTTACAAACACCATCTGCTACACGTTTTGAAATTAGGCATCATAGCATACAAGGATTTCGATTGACTTGTTTTGATGCTAACTTAACGCTTCATTTAGTCCACTAAGCTTTTGAAATTCATCGATAATTTAAATCTATTGATATTTTAAATGACTAATATTTTGAACCTGTCAATGCCTTAGATCCAGTTATATTTTTAATTCATTGACATTTTAAATTTGCTAACATTATAATTCCTCTAATATCTTAAACTTGTTAACGTTTTAAAACAACTAATAATTTCGCCCCCCCCCACCAGTGGCACAGCGGTCTGTCCGCGTACTTACAACGCTAAAAACCGAGTTTCGATACCCGTGGTGGGCAGAGCACAGATTTTTGTGCTTAACTTCAAACAAACAAACTAATAATTTAAATGACTGATTTTGAGCTTCTTATAATTTTAAATTCATTGATATTTTAAATTTGCTGACATTATATAATCTACTAATATTTTATGCTCTCTGAAGTTTAACATTTAACAATAACTTTATTTCACAGATATTTTAATCCTCTTATATTTTAAATCATTTATATTTTACTACCATACGCGTTCCCTCAACATTTGTCAGGTTATAAATGAACAATTACTGTAATATTTAAGTGTTTTACACTCACAAAAAAGAAACCTATCATTCTATAGGTATTTGAAGAACTTAAACAAATGTTTAAACAACCCTATTTATTCAATTACTGTAATAGTTCATTTCCTCAACTGGGTAGTTTTGACCTTAAACTTTTACAGTAAACAATTGTCAGGATGGTTATATCATTTCTTTGCACAAAAATATCATTCGAAGGTTAATAACACAGGCCTGCGATGGTTTTATTGTTAACACAGGCCTGCGATGGTTTTATTGTTAACACAAGCCTGCGATGGTTTTATTGTCTTGAAATTTTTACATGTTCTATGGTAATTACTATACTCTGAAAACGAAAATGATATCCATTTTTCTCCATCACGTACAGATTTTTCACAGAACGTCATATGTACTTTTACATAAGTGAATCATTTAAAATGAAATCGGGACACATTTTGTTATGCTTAAAATGTTGACAACCACTAGCTAAAGATTTCTCTAGACCAATCGCGACGTGAGAGTCTTATCTATCGTTCTAGAACCCAAACATAACAATAAAAAATATTCATTTTGGTAAACGAAATAATAATTTGATCTAAGTAAGAGTGTTTTTTTTTTCCCGATTTGTAAAAAATCCTTACGTGATAGAAAAAAAAAGAATATCATTTCTGAAATCTGTGTAGCTGAACTATGGAAAATCCGTTATTAAAACCAAAATAACTATTATGAAGTTTAAATTCACAGGCCTGTGTTATCAAAGACTATGTACGTATATATAAAAATATAACATTCTGGCAGATGGAACTGATGAGCCAATTACTTTTTGAAGTAATATTGATAATTGTATGGGATGTTAGTACTCTGTTCTTTCATAACTATAACTGTACAGTCAACGAGTTTAGTGTTCAAACGTTTTTTATGTGTTTTTTTTTTCTTACCTCACGAAGAAGAATGTATCTACGGAAACAAAACCGTTCGATATCGCTTGAAATGCAAAATCACTTGCAAAACTCGTACTTTTCTTGAGATTACCTAAAAAAAAAAACAATTACAAAGATATCCGGAATATTAAATTACAAACACCATCCAGCAAAGTTTATTTCAAAAACTACCCTATCCGGCACATTTAATTACAAACACCATCCAGCAAATTTTATTTCAAAAACTACCCCATCCGGCACATTTAATTACAAACACCATCCAGCAAATTTTATTTCAAAAATTACCCCATCCGGCTCTGGAATTACAAACACCATCCGGCACATTTAATTACAAACACCATCCAGCAAATTTTATTTCAAAAACTACCCTATCCGGCACATTGAATTACAAACACTATCCGGCACATTGAATTACAAACACCATCTAGCAAATTTTATTTCAAAAACTACTCCTCCATTCTGCACTTGAATTATAAACATCATTAAACACGTTGAATTATAAACATAATTAAACACGTTGAATTATAAACATAATTAAACACGTTGAATTATAAACATAATTAAACACGTTGAATTATAAACATAATTAAACACGTTGAATTATAAACACCACCAAACACGTTGAATTATAAACACCATCAAACACATTGAATTATAAACATAATTAAACACGTTGAATTATAAACACCATCAAACACGTTGAATTATAAACACCATCAAACACATTGAATTATAAACATCATTAAACACGTTGAATTATAAACACCATCAAACACGTTGAATTATAAACATAATTAAACACGTTGAATTATAAACACCACCAAGCACGTTGAATTATAAACACCATCAAACACATTGAATTATAAACATCATTAAACACGTTGAATTATAAACACCATCAAACACGTTGAATTATAAACACCACCAAACACGTTGAATTATAAACACCACCAAACACGTTGAATTATAAACATCATTAAACACGTTGAATTATAAACACCACCAAACACGTTGAATTATAAACACCACCAAACACGTTGAATTATAAACACCATCAAACACATTGAATTATAAACAT